TAAAGAGCAGAAGTGCACTTTGAAAGAAAATCCTAATGAGAACCAGTCAAGTTTGATATTAGGTTCTAGAAAATCAAAACTATAAATTTAACTCAAAGGCAGCTGCTCTGAACAACAGGCCTGCCAATATATTTTGGATTTATAGGCCAAAAATATGAATGCTTCAAAATTCTTCCTTTTACTACAAAAGGGTTTGGGTTTAGTGATGCAATGTGTATTTCTGCTCCTCTAAGCTGGATATGCATTTCTCATTTGATAAACATAAACACTTTCTGCTGAACTTTGACAAAGGCAAGGACAAATTTTTCCATTACATGTGTCTATGTATTCCATATGGAAAACACTCTTTAAAGTGCTAAGAAGTTCCCCCCCCAAATTAGTATCTTTACTCTTATAGTCATCCACATGTCAGGAAATGCCACTTACAGCAGCTCATACACTAATGGTTAATTTCTATGTCCACTTAGAAATATTGAAGCCTGTTTCAGCCACACAATTTCTAGCACATTACTTGTGATGCTTCCTGTGCCACATCTACAATTAGTGGTATCCACATATTATTGTCGAGGCTCTATAGCTTCTCAAATGGCACTCCCCTCTATGAAGGAAACTTCTTGAAGATGTCACCACAGTCATTCCCAAGTAAAGTTTGAACTGTAAATACCAGTCTTCCCATAACCATACCAGGAGAAACACTGTTCATCTCTGTAGCACAAATTTCTAGCTCATTTCTACAGCAGATTCTGCTGAGAGCTCTTGAAACACTTAGATTCATTTATTAAAGTAGAACAGAAATGGGCATTTAATAATAATTAAATATTTTACCATCTAAAGATTTTCTTAGAGAGCCTGAGTAGTTCTGAATGTGGCAATTTATGCATTAAAATGAGAGGTAGCATTTGTCAATTCACACTTGGAACAGTCACAAAGCTGTTCAAGTCACTCTAACAATAAATTACTTTCCCACTCGAAAGCTAGCCTCCCTTAAACAGCTTTAGAAGCTAAACCAAACATCCATTACCCCCAAACATGTGAAGAATTTATACATGGCAGTGGTTAGAGATTGAGACTCCCCAGCTGCAGTGATCAGGCAGACTTGCAGAGGGCAGCCCTGAGGCAGGGGAAGGGGCTCAGCACCCCCCAGGAGGTGAGAAGTAGAGGCTCATGCAGGGCTCCCCACCACCTCTGTTTCATCAGCTGGTGATGTACCTTTGCAGGACATCATGAAAACAATTAGAGTTTGGGATTTCCTTCCCAAGGGAGCACCTGGATCCTACCCACAGCCATGGATCTCTCTGGCACACCTTCCCACCCCACCCCAGCACTGGTGGTTCTTAACCTCCACTCCTTCCCGCAGTGAACCACTGTGCAGGGGCATACCCATAACACTTTGGGTATGGACAGACCTACAAAACTAGACCCCTAACAATTTATTTTTCTTCCTGACTGGGTGCCTGGACTGGCTTCTCAAGGCCAGGCAAGCACCAGCCCATGCAGACACGAGGGCAAGGGAAGAGAGGGCAGGGCTGCAGGAGTGGCAGCCACAGCCTGACTTACTGCAGACATGCTGAACCATGTATTTAAAGCCTCTGTGAATGCATCTGCTACTGAAGGGACAAGAAATAAATTCAAAATTAATATGCAATATTAATACCAGGGGAAGTTAAAAGATCAACTCAAAAGCAGTGGTGCAAATTTCAGAGCTCAATGCAGTTAAAGGTTAACAGAAGGTGGCCTTTCTTGGCACTTCATCCACTTAATATAAACAGCAGATTTTACCATTTCCTCTGTACTGCCACTTTTCCTTTCTTGTTTGAACTTAAAAAAAAAAAAAAAAAAAGGAAAATAGTTATGAAGTCACAGGAATTACCAGGGGATCAAGAGGAACGCAGTAGTCTAAAACGACTAAGCTTGCTTTTTTGATTAGCCCATAGTCTGACACGTGTTTCTAACACCACTACTGCACATACAGCTGTCTAACTATGTGAAAACTCAGTACAGCATGGCATTCTCACCAGCCACACCATTCACTGCCATCAAGTGTTCTGGATGCCAAGCAGGTTTCTACCCTGCAACAGTAGCTCCTGCGAGGTAGAATTTAGGATTTTTTCATTCGGACAAGTCTCAGTAAAGGTAGTTAAGCATAAGAATTCCCCAGACAAACCATGACAGCTCCAGTATGAAGGTATTATCAGAGCCAGCTGTTCATATTGACAGCTTCAAGATAATGCTTGCAACAAACAAGTTTGAGCTC